ATGATCTTCACGGCAACCGGACCGTGGCCACTTGTTTTTTGTGTTCTTTCAGGAAGGTATACGGAATACTCGGCCTTCCCAATCCGAGTGTCCGGCGGGGGTTGTGGTTCCTTTCAGTTCTTTTGCCGGCTCACCGACGCTAAATAGCGCCTCCAACATAGGCTCGTAGTCTAGATCCAAGTTCACACCTCCTGGCACAAGTACCCCAGTCTTGTGCCGGGCGCTCTGCTTAGTAAACACCCAGACGTCCCCCGACCACCCAATTTATCATCTCCGAAGTCCCGCGGTACAGGCTACTTTCCTCCTGGGAGGTCATTTTCACCACAATAAGTTCAGGGACGACTTGCATAGCCTAAGATCCTACTCACACGCCGGGATGGAGCGTACACCAACGTCCAGCTTCTCATGTACGCTCCACCATGGGTTGCTACCCCACTTACGCTACCGAGTAGACCTATCTGCCGCACGTTTGGCCAACAATTCCTCACTGCTTTATTCTCGCCTCTCTCCAATCGAAAACAATGCATTGTGCGTGCCGCACATCTAGCTCCGCAGTTTTTGCGTGGTTGGTCTGGTCGTTCTGCTTGCTCGACGTGAGTAATAAGCTTTGCTTTGATGGCTCTCTGTTTTATTGATCCACTTCAAGCAACGAACACACACACCCCCCTCCACCGTCCGACCCATTTTGGATGTCACGCCAGAAAGTTTTGGGGTGTCTTAGCTCTAAGCCTTCCACCGCCCAACGGGGGACTCAAGTATTTTTTTTAATGCCGTACCAATGGACATTAACCTTAGGTAACCTTGGGCTTACTTTGGACTGTGCCCTCCTCATCCTCTGGGGGAGGTAGAGAGGGGGGGGGGGCGCATGGCCTCTATTTTTCAGGGGGGGTTCGGGTACGGNGCCGTACCAATGGACATTAACCTTAGGTAACCTTGGGCTTACTTTGGACTGTGCCCTCCTCATCCTCTGGGGGAGGTAGAGAGGGGGGGGGGGCGCATGGCCTCTATTTTTCAGGTAGGGTTCGGGTACGGGTTGGGGGTCGGGTCTATGTGTACTGCATTCTCGAATTGTCCCCTCACTATGGCTACTGTGGATTTTCAGTATACATCTATCCTTGCTCAACGCGTCTATGTGTCCGGAAATTTCCAATACAAATCAACCTGTGAGGTTTCAGTATGCAGCTATCCTCACTCAACACGTCT